AAGTATAAATACAAAACTTAGAATTACAAAATGTCAAAAACAGACGAAATTACAAATTTCTTTATGTATATTCACTCTTTGATAAAAAATCATAAAGAAAGGAAAACTTGTTGTATCGAATGTCGAATCTTAAATTGCCAAAGAAGATACAAATAAATATATTTTAAAAAAGTTCAAAAACTCGCTTTCACAAAAGACATTGGGCTTAAAATTTGACATACATTCTTGTGCTATACGAACCTAACCCTCTTTTCTTCTAATTTTTTTTCTTTAAAAACACAAATTACAAAGATTTTCACATTTCCTAAAATGAACAAGTTTCGTACTGCAGTTTGATAACAGAACTGATAAGAAATGACAGTTCGTGACAACCTCATAACAGTGTCATGCTTAGTAGCTATATCATGCATATTGCAACTATATCATGCATTAGTGACTAAACCATGCATTGATATGTCATGCATTGAAAATTGCAACTGTATACACAGAGCTGCAATACCCCGCCATTAATATTCTTTACTTAATATCAGACCTTAAGTATGTTCATTGTTCATTGTTGCTTGGTAATATAATAAAAAGTACAGGGCCTGGAAGCCTAATTTCAAGTTACCATATATGCAAGGATGTTATACAATGCCCGATTCACAACGGTACCCTTGAAATCTTCATCTTAAAAATAATGTGAAAGATATTGATGATTTACAGGTTTTAAAGTTTTATTTTCTATACGTTTTCCTGCACAGTAGAAATGCGCAAGTCACTTTTGTAAAGATACCACAATAGAAAATAATCTTTTTTCAAAATGATATGAACATTAATATCTATAAATGCTTGATCAGACAAATCTTTTCAGGGTATCGTTGTGAATCGGGGATTGTCATCTTTCCATGGAGGGTCACTTGGAATTACGATTACATTTCCTTTATTACTTAAAGGAACTGGGGGGTCACTTGAAATTACGCTTACAGTCCCTTTACTACTTAAAGGAACTTGAGGGTCACTTGAAATTACGCTTACAGTCCCTTTACTACTTAAAGGAACTGGAGGGTCACTTGAAATTACGCTTACAGTCCCTTTACTACTGGAAGGAACTGGAGGGTCACTTGAAATTACGCTTACAGTCCCTTTACTACTTGAAGGAACTGGAGGGTCACTTGAAATTACGCTTACAGTCCCTTTACTACTTAAAGGAACTGGAGAGTCCCTTGAAATTGCGCTTACAGTCACTTTTATACTTAAAGGAACTGGAGGGTCACTTGAAATTGCGCTTACAGGCACTTTTATACTTAAAGGAACTGGAGGGTCACTTGAAATTACGCTTACAGTCCCTTTAATACTTAAAGGAACTCGAGGGTCATTTGAAATTACGCTTACAGTCCCTTTAATACTTAAAGGAAGGAACTGTAGAAGTAATTCGCAGTGACCATCTACCTGTCACTATAGTTTCAGTAGAAGTAAATATTTCCATTTACTGATAGCGCTGATTTAAGGATTCATAACTCTAATTGGATAATGCGCTAGATAGAAAGATAGATGTTACCGTCATACTATTTCTATTGGTTCAGAATAGACAACAAACACATGACTGAACCCTGATTGGATCAGGCGCTCATGGACTCGACATACAGGAGTGCTGCATACAGTGCAGCCGGTCTGATTCACAACAGTTTTCCTTAAATCTAGGTCCGATCAAAGATGAATGGTTTCGGAAAATTGAATATTTTCAACTAAGTTTCTCTTTAAAAGTGACTTGCGGTTGTATGTTACAGAGACAGTGAAGGAAGTTGAAATTGAAATGAATTCAATACGCTTTCTAGCTCTATGTCAGATAGAGGGTTAAATGGTACCGTCGGAATTCGGACATGCCACTCTGCAAATGCAGGCTCACTATAAATTACGTCATCAGAAGGGAAATGAGCTAAATTTATATCTAAGTAATATTTAGGAGAGGTTATTCTTTGAAAGGGCAAACATCTTTTTTGCCCCCTCCCCTAAGAAGGGGGCACTGGGGGGCACAGAAATTAAAATGGGTAGCTCCTTCAAGTACAAGGGGACAGGTTATAAACAAAGTATAGATTTGATGCTCTATAGGGCGAAAAGGGAAAATGCGATTTCTGGATGCTAGGCTGTATAGACTTTAAACTTTAGCATACTTTACGAAGCCTTTTAAGAACTATTTTTAATTATTTAGAACCAGGCGGCCGTTTTTTTTGTAAACCTTCAAATTTTGCAAATTTTGCAAAGGAATTGCGTCTTCGGAACAAAATCAAATATTTAAACTTCAATATCTTTAGAATTCGATGTTGTAAACCTTTGATATTTCAAACTCAGATTATTTGATCTAACAGAATTCATAGTTTGAAATATCTAAGGTCTGATACATTTGGTTCCAAAGATATAGTGATTAGAAAATCAGAGTTTGTGGCAGAGACTCAATTCCTTTTTCTTGTTATTTCAACAAAAAAAATTTAATCGCAATTTTTCCACAATAATTTGGGCCAAATCGGTTCAGCCGTTTAGACCTTTATTGAAGACAGACAGACAAACAAGCCAAATTTATACATAGATAAAATCCTGCAAAAAAAGCGTGCGAAAGCGCACAAAGTACGTGTGCTTTGTGCACGGAGAAAGCGCAGCGGGAAATTCAATACTTAAGTTTGCAAAAATAAAATGAGGTCAATCGTGTAGCAGTGTAAAGTACAGGCCGGCCCAAACAAATCCTTGCAACTTTGGCCGAACCCACGTTTGCAAAAATATCTGCGGTATCCAGACATTGGCATGACTTGCAAAAATTCCCCCTGCACAACATGCTTAGATTGATACGACTTTAATGATTTAATTTTATGGCATTTTCCTTGAATATTTTAAACTCTCAGACGTATTAAAACACAGCGGGAAAGTTTTGTGATGATTGTGCAGAAAATATTGCAAGTTCATTATTCGCAATTTGTAAGATTTTGCATAAATTGGACAGATCTCATCAACCATGCAAAATATTGGCATAAATGTACGTTTCAAAATATTAATAAATAACCAGAAAGAACTTTTCGGAGAGGGGCTTTAACAACGTACCCTTTGCATTAAGTTTTTCATTCTTATCCATTATATAGAATTTGAATTAAACGAGAGGCAATTAGGAAAAAATATGGAAGTCCTCAGATTTTCGTTGTATCACACTAATATTTGATTTTCATAGGATTGTTTAAAATACAAAGTACAACTACACTTGTAAAGCAGATTGATGCATAGGAAATGGCATCAAAAGAAACCATATGCATCACAAGAAGGTTAAATGTGCAAAAAGATTAAGAAATGCATCATAAGAATCCCAAATGCACCAATATAGATGATTAAATGCACAACAAAATTATGAAATTCGTCAAAACTGTACGGCTGCAGATGCGCCCGAAGAAGACCACCAATTTCGTTCCAAGAAGACCAAATGTCATATAAGATGAAAGGTTTCTTGAAAGGTTGAGAAACATAAAAAGAGAGTGGTTATCAAATCTGTTTATTTAGACGAGCTGGTACGAGTAAATGTGTCTGAACCCTAGACCGGTAAATCCTTCTACAGGTTTGGACCAATGTAACCAATGTAACCAATGTAACCAATATATCCATTGTAACCAATGTAACCAATGTAACCAATGTAACCAATGTAACCAATGTAACCAATGTAACCAATGTAACCAATGTAACCAATGCAACCAATGTAACCAATGTAACCAATAGCTGTCATTATATATTCAGTTTAAACTAATCCAAAAAAAACTTTTTCCGAATATAAAAATATCCCAGAAATGAAGCAATAAACGATTTTAAGTGTCATAGAAAAATTATCATATTTTTAAGTAAAAATGTAAAAAACAAAGAGAATTCTAAAAAATATTAATTTTTCTATTTCTGCAAACTATATTTCAAAATTCTCAAAGTTTAAAAAACACTCTTTGATAAAATAACAGGTCCTGAAATTAAGATTGAACGTTCGTCCTATAAAGTAAAAAAAACATTAGCCCTTGTCACCCCAAAGATGTTAGCCAATTTGGTCCTACTGTTTGGCCAGCTTTAACGAACATATACATTTATATATATATTTATATTTGAGCGAAGAGCTTTATTATATAGATATCATTCTGTTTTTCTATTTGTATTGAAAAGGTCTGAATTAACCCCTTTTTAACAAAAAAATAAAATATATTTGCAAAAAGTAAAAAATTGTAAAGTTTAAAAACTGTGCAAAGTCCTATTGTCATAAAGGTCTGCACGTCTAGACTGTTGGTACACAACTTTATAACTTAAATCATAAATAATGTAAATTCATTATCAAAAGTTTACGCCACGATTAATAACAACACAGACAAAAGTTAGAGGTTTTTCGCTCACAATAACCCTAAGGCAGAAGCCCAAAAGTGTGCTGCGCAGGCATCGCATGCTCTCTCTCTGTCTTTTAATTCAACGCTGCCTGTGCGGAACTCCTCTGGGCTTCTAACCCCATAAATCTTGAAAAGACGACATCTAGTGTTCTATCTGTGCTGTTATTAATCTAAAGTATACAATAGAAATCATGACATTCAGTGTAGGAACAAAAATAATTGATTTAAATTTTGGTATTAAATCGGCCATTTTTTCCCTAAACCAAACCAAATAGTTAGGGGTTATAAGTCACATTTTAGCATATGCATGTAATATTTACAAACTAAAAATCTTAAGTAGAATTTCTAGCAGAAAAAAAAATATTATATTTAGTATCTCACAATATTAAAATCAAATATAACCAATTGTTGATATTGCCTAGCATAAAGTGATGTAATTAAATATAACCAAATATTGATATTGCCTAGCATAAAGTGATGTAATTAAAACTGGTTTTCTTGAATGGTAATTGCCCATATTTTAAGACTAGAAATACCAATCAAAAACCATACTTAGTCATTTGTCATGTTCAGAGGGAAACACTATATAAGTTATAATCGATTAATTTGTACGTGATTTGTACTCACCAAGTTGAGTTCTGGTAACTTCCTCTACCATCCACTTCATCTCTATACCCTCCTCCTCCTCCTCTTCCTCCAAACCTACCCTCATCCCCTCCTCTCCCTCCTCTTCCATCTCCTCCGTCTCCTCTAACGCCTCCATGATCATTTATCCCGCAGGATTGTTCATCCGGAACTCTACCACGATCATTCTTGTGCCGATTCCGTTCATCCATATCCCGAACCCTGGATAAATCCTCCATATGATGGTCATCCATATTTATTCTCTCCACACGTTCATTCATTGAACTCGGTCTTGAATCCATTACTTGATGTCGGTCATCCACACCACGCCGGTCAGTCATGCTCCTGGGAGCCTCGGTCATCCCTCGAGATTGCTCTTCGGCCATACGAGGGCGGTCATCATGCCCTCGTTGGGACTCCTCTGGGCCTCGAGACCGGGGACCGCTGACCCCGCGGTCATATTCAAGAATACTATTCATGGACTCCTTACTCCGACTTATCTTGAACTCGTCCATCCTCCTACTCAGGTCTACTCTATCCTGCTCCGGGTGCACTTTATCATGCAGAGGTCGATTCTCCTGCCAGCTCCGGGTATCTCGGTGAGTACGGGGGGTTTCTTCTCTCCGATGGCTATAATCAAGAGTCAGAGTGTACGGCTAGAATATAGAAGGAATTATAATTTTTCAACGTTGAAAGTTTGTACAGTTGTACAGTTGTATTTATGCACAGGTGTTCAGTTAAATTTGTTTCGAAGTTGTACAGTTTTTCATTTGAACAGTTTTACAGAGTACAGTTACATAGTTAAATTTTAGTTTGTCCATTGTACAGTTGTACAGTTGAACAGTTGTTCAGTTGTACAGTTGTACAGTTGTACAGTTGTACAGTTGTACAGTTGTACAGTTGTACAGTTGTACAGTTGTACAGTTGTAAGCTTATATAGTGAAATGTTAGTACAGTTGTTCAGTAGTTCAGTTGAATTATACCTTATTTGATCTGGAACTGTCGTATTTACTTCTTCTTGGTAGTTCATTTATTAGGTAAGAATATCTTGGATCCTCTTTACATCCGATATATTATTATTAATATTATTATTATTATAATGAGTTATTATTATTATAATTATAATTATTTTTATTATTGTTATTATTATTTTTATTATTATTATTATGAAATGAATAGTTATTATTAGTTATTATAGTTTCATAAATTTTATAAACTTTAAAGAAAATCACTTTTATTTCATTTCACCGGTCTGGGCCCTTGTTCGAATAGTAATTGACGTATATCGGTTCCTTTGAATTTTTCCTTTATGTTGTGGTCTGAATACATGGTTTAGAAGGTTACAGTGCTATATCTGCTATAGGATAAAATATACATTTTCTCGCTCCACTAGGTTCGTTTAACAATGAGTTCAGCTTTACAATTCAGGGTTTTCAACCAAATTCAAGAATTCACAATTATATATTTCTAGTTCAAATATCTGAAGGAAAACGTTTTATAAATTATATTTTATATAATTCACGTCACTTAAAAACTAGGTTAACATGAGTACATGTTTAGAACATGCACTCATCTGTGTACAGGTGTACAGCTGGTTGTACAGGCAGCTGAGCATGTATTGTACTGCAGCTGAATAGTTGAGGTATTTAACATACACCTTTATAATACAGAGTGCACGCACATTTAAGTAAACATTTTATATTGCTCAAATAAAAATAAAAATGTATAATTTTGTAAACTAGGACTTTGGTTTGTAATGACGCATAGTACTTACAAATAAATACAGGTTTTAGGGAAAACTTAATTTTTTAAATTAATTTTGTGCACGCACCCTTGGTATGTGAGGTAGTCCGATCGCTTCTACTGCACTATGTGCACTGTGCACAATATCTGCACACTGCACAAGCACACAAAGCCTAAGTGAGGCCCGGTTTGCAGTACCCGGTTCCCGGTCGGATCGGTCCGGCGGTTTCTGTCCGCCGCACCGGTGTTATCAACCCAACAAATGGATATCAGGCCCAGAGAGCGGGCCGGTACGAGGCCCAACTCCCAACTTGCAAACTCGGTTTGAAATTGCAAATATGGAGACAGGCAAATAGCGGGCCCTGGAATTCCTTTCCATTTCTCTGATAGTTTATCGGGGAAAAGTAATTTTTCTATGTAAGCTATTTTCACTTATAGACACACATGTTGGATTCATTTATACAATTTGTTTCAACATCTAATACTGAAAATATGTTAAAATTATTAACCTTTTACAATCATTTAAAGTGAGTGTGCGCAAAAAATGGAAGGCTGATTGGAATCGATCGTCACCAGTTTTACTTCTCTCTATAGCGTATAACGCGAACACTACCTTTAAAATTACGGCGTAATAAATGAATCCCTTGTTTTCTACACAGATGTAAGATGTACCGGTTGCTATGGAATTAAAAACTAATATATATTGTTAAGTGAACGAAGACAATGCGAGTAGACTGAAATAATCAATCTATATAATTAATAAAACAAGACGTTCGTATATATATATATGTTGCGTATAGCCGGCAAACGACTGGACCGATTGGGCTGACATTTGTTGTGGACACTCATGGATGTTATTGGCTAAAAAATATCTAAATAGTTTTTTTCCAAGTTTTTTTTCCACGGGCAACGCCGGGCCCTTCAGCTAGTTTATTATATAAAGGAAATATTCTATTTTTCCCAGACTCCAACAGACGAAAGGAGAAGATTAAAGTTATACGATATTGTGACCTCATAACTCCTCTAGTTTGGATTTCTATCTTCTCAATAGTTCTTAAATAAAAGGAGTTATGATTAAAACAGGCGACAGTAAAAATCATCCATTGCAAAACTATTAAAAAATGGAATAAAAATTGTCATGATTTGACTTTTATGATTGTTACAAATCACAATTTTTTTTTAGTGAAAAGATTAAGCATAGCAAACTTTACACAGTAAAAAAACAGTTTTTTTAATAAGTTTATTATTGTTTTTTTTTTTTGCAGTATAAATACATTATTATTATCATTTTATTAGCTTGAAAACCCAGCTTTACATAAATTTTAACCTTTCTATTATAGTTAACCGTTTAACTTGGACGCTTTAAATCAAGCTGAGAAAATGTATTAGGTTCTTCAACGAATTCTCCAATCTAAATTTGAGGCAAATCGGTAATCATGAGTTCTGATCAGACATACAAACAAACAATAAGAGATTTGTGTTGCACTTACTGAATTTTATTTTTGCTTTTAAGGTGCAGTTCTGAATTGAATATTTACATTCAGCAGTTTAAGCCATCAAATATAATTTACAATCAATTAATCCATAATTTTAAGATATTATCAATTCACAAAAAAAGTTTTATTTAAATCTATTTTGTGTTTTTATATTTGTTCACCATAGACTGTACATAGTTAGCTCCTACTTCTACTCTTAACTTGTCAAAGTATATTTTTTTAAATGAGAATTTTCTTAATTATCAAAATCATAACCTAGAACACAATTGGCATAGGTTCATGATCTTGAAACTTTTTGAATGAAGATGAAAAAAATACCTTAGAAATATGGCTTCCACTAATTATTATGAACAAAAAATTAAATAAGAAAAAGCTGCCTATATAGCTGCAACACCCAGGTGCAAAACGCATATTGCAAGAGGAGGAAAAAAACATGCAGATAAGTTTGCAGTGTTTGCAGTCGCAAAAATCCTAGACGTCGAAACTCACCCTTTCAATGACCTTCGTAAAGGTCCTTAAACTCTTACTCTCTACAGGGACAAAGTAAATGTTTTCCCGCATTTTTTAAAATTCATAATTTTCCATTTTTAAATGGCGAATATAATAACTGAACGTGTAGAAAACAATGAGCAATTTTAACGTGATTTAATCAAGATTTTCACCAAATCCAAATATCCCTGTCATGGCATTGGCCTTGAGAAGTTCGCTCACCCGGTGCCCTTGTGCAAAGAGTTTGCAAAAATGTGTACCGGTCCGTCGGGCCCTGCCTGCCAGTTATCCGCCTTACATTGTTGGTTCGTGCCGGTACCGTCAAGCAAGGTAGGACAAAACAGCCTCCTTTATGCAATGATTAGTTGCTGTGCAAAAATCCATCTAGATAAAACTGCAAACAAAACGGCAACAACAATTATGGGATTTAAATATACTGTAAAAACTAAAACATAGAATGAAAAATTCAGCCTGACTTCTGCCTGGCCTGTATTGGCTTCTTCCATTCTTGTTCCCCCCTACTTTTGGACTCTGTATTGAACCCTGGTATCCCCCCTACTCCTGTATTCTGTATTGAATCCTGGTATCCCCCTACTCCTTTATACTGTATTGTCCCCTGGTATCCCTCCTACTGCATCCTGTATTGAACCCTGGAATCCTGCCTACTTCTGTATCCTGTCTTGAACCCTGGTATCCCCCTACTCCTGTATCCTGTCTTGAACCCTGGTTTTGATTTTGCAGTTGACGGGACTTGAACCATGAATCCTTAGATTATGAATCAAATACGCTAACCACTGCTCCATCAATTCCTGATGATTTGGTAATGAAATAGGGACCAGAGAGCTCAACCAACTCATTATAAGTTGAGGGCCTTGCATAATGCTAATTAGTACACCTATTCAATACCACAGAGAACTCAAGTTTAGCGGACTAAACGAATATATATATGTCAGGGTGTTTGTATCCAATGAACGTCAAATAGCAGAACCGATCCGGCCCAAATTTTGAGTTGTACTTTACAGGGAAGGTTAACTGATGCTCAGAATTACAAAAATTTGTCTGGAAACATTTTTGATATTAGTAAAATTTTAAAAATCCACGAAAAAAATCGTATATCCGCATAATGTATACTACATTCGAAATTACTCGTACCAGCCCATCTAGTCTTCCAAGTGTTTATCTACAATTTATACAATCTTAAGGAGTTTATCTACTGGATATAGACTTCAGTTGCTGAACTTAAGTTATATCCCAAACAAAAATTCTGAGCTCAGATCTATTTTCAACGTAAAAATTTGGAGGAGTTAGGAATAAAATTCGTATTTATTAAAATATTTCTGGTTAAAAAAAATAATTTTAAGATGACTGATTTCTTTAGGACTAACTAAAAGTTAAAAAAGACAAGTATAAAAATAATTTATCAAAAATGAACAATTAATTTATGTACTTATCATGAATAAGTACATTTTGTTCCCAACAGGAGGCATCAAAATTAGTTTGAAAGCTATATGTAAAATTTGAAATTACCGCATATGTTTAGAAGCATATTTAATTTGTTTAAAGGGACTGTAAACATAATTTCAAGAAACCACCATTGATATATGTGGCATCAAGCATGAAAATGTTATCGTTTAGATACGAGGGATTGGTCCTCTTTAATTGGTCGGTTACTTAAAATAACAACAACACTCCTATTAATAGAACTTGTTTTTATTATTATTTTATAAATTTTCATGGTTATTTGTTTGAATTTTCATTTTGGAAAGATGGTTAACTTATTGCTAAAGTCAAAAAATATGCTTTTTATCTTCAAACAAATTTGGGTTGTCCCACGAAAATCTAAAAGTTTCCTATTATCACGCTTCTTTTTATTATTCATTTAGTTAAAATTCAAACTTCCACAAAAGACTTCATTGAGTTAAATAAGTTTTTTGTTTTGTTTACATCTATAGTGGTGTTCCGGGGCCCAAGTCTGCAAATCTGGGAGTGGTACTGGCGCGGTTCGTTTTTAGTCTGATACATTAGCGTATTGCAACTTGCCCGGTATTGGCGCAAACTGACTGCTTTCATTTAATCCATGCAGTTTACTATATGCGATATTATTATTACCACGAAATTAGGGGGGGGGGNTAATGCCAAAATCTGCAAATCATTTTTTTGGAGTTGAAAACCTTTGATTTTAAAAAATAGTTTGCTTTCAAAAGATTTTTTTTTCTCTCTACTAAGACTACTAACGAACCTCCACGTGGAAGAGAAGCTGGGGCAAATAATGCATTGCAAATGGTGCAAATTTGCACTTTTCTTCTTATCATTTCTTGCAAAATATTTGATACTCTATATAATAATGATGAAGAAATGAAGAAATGCTTACTCAAATCCAACACTAATATATCGGAAAGCTAAAATTTCAATATCTAGTTCAATATTGATTATTGATAACAAGAAAAATATAATAGAATATCGAATGGGGGGGGGGCTGTGGGATTAAATCATCGTCACCCCTGTTACAATAATCTAAGAAAGTTGAATCAACTATTGAGACCGGGCCACCGTGTCGCCAATCTGTTTCCCTTGTCACCTTTGTCAGTGTCTTGATGAGTATTTGGCAAAATTCTGATCTTATGTCCCAGATTAGGCATTACAAAGTTCTGATCTGATGTCCCAGATTAGGCATTACAAAATTCTGATCTGATGTCCCAGATTAGGCATTACAAAATTCTGATCTGATGTCCCAGATTAGGCATATCTAGGTTCACAGAATTAGCTTTTTGTCGGCCCTTGTGATGATGCAGTGATAACCAGAAAACCCTGGAATAGGAAAACGAGTCTTAGACTCAAGTTATGAATTTAAATAGTCTAACATGAGGCACAGCAATTGTGCAGTGTAAACAGACCCATTAAAATTTTACTAGTAAAACTATTTGCTTTCCTGTAGTCTTCCTATCTTAAAGTTTTCTGGTATTTAGAACTGTACTCTTCAGACGGAGAAATATTTAAAAAAAATATATTTGCTTCATTTCCTTGAAACTTCACTCAAATTAATAAAGAAACCAAGATCGAAAATGATAAATTTTCAGAAAGAAATCAAGAATATTTCTCTCATCCTTGAATCTTGATTAGGAGAAGGATTAAAGCCTGGTAAAGTTGTGAATCAAGCATATTCCTCTTTAAACGAAAGATCACAAGTAATTAAGTAAGCTTCGTATCAAAGACAATACAATTTGGCTATATATTATTTGCAACAATTAGCACAGTTATTTATTATCATTAATTCATCATTGCTAAAATTCCCTCACCCTGCTAGTGTCTGCAATATTGCATTTTGTTTGCAGAAATGCAGTTCTTTATGCTTGTGATTTTCCTTGAAGCATTTCAACCTTGAAGCCTTAGGATTAGCAAAGTTAACAAGAAAATTTTTTCTTCAAATCAGGATAAAAATACAAATATCTATTATTTTTCTAAGTATTCAAAAATTCATATTTGCTAGGTGTATGCATGTCATTGAATTGGCTGTAACTGTGGCTAGGACTTGCATAATTCTGCGGCTATTACAATCACTGTGGCTAGGAGAGAAAAATTGCTAAAACATCACTGTGTGCGTCTGGTTAGTAAACAAGAAAAACGACTTTGCCTATTTCAATCACTGAGGCTAGGACAGAAACGATGTTTGCCTCAAACAAGCATTGTGATTGGAACATAAAAAAGTCTATGCCTATTTCAATCTCTGGGGCTAGGACAGAAAAAGTGGCTTTGTCTGTTAGAATTACCGTGGCTTGGACTGGCTGAACTCTGCGGCTATATTAAAAGCACCGTGACTAAGGCAGGTCAACTTGGCCAAGCGGTGGTTTTTTCGAAACCTTTAGAAAAAGAAAAATAAAGGATTGTTGAAACAGTACAGATTATTATATTAAAAGAAATTAAGTAATAAAACGACCTTGGCCAAAAATAACGTTTAATATACTATGAACGCTTAAAAAACGGGTTTTCTAAATCCAAGAAAATTATATTTTATTCTTGTTTCCAGATACTTTTGATAACTTTACCTTTCTGAAAATTAAATCATGAATATTTTATCTACAGATATTTCCATTTCAAACATTTTCCGTTTTTGTAATAAATATTGATAATTTTAATTAATTAGTCTTTAATTCCAAATGTCTCTTTTCCTCGATTTTGAAAATTGATCGTTATCTCGTTTTTAAACCATTTTATTCAATAATTTAATCTTTTTAAATCTTAATGGATTATCCTAGGAAGTGTTATTATGATTTAATCCATAGGAATACATTTAACGCAGGATGATCATTTTAGTTATAGTAACAGTTAAAATTTAAATTTAAAAAAGATTAGTGTGGAAGGGGGGAAGGGTGATGAGGAAGTTTTGTTATGAAAATTTTTTTTTGTATAAATCAGATTTAAATTGGATTTAAACATTTATACGAATTTTATTTTATAACCTCTAATATCTTCGCAACGCAATGTCGTAGACCTTAGATATTTCTAACACTATGAACTCTGCTGATCAAATAATCTAAATTTAAAATATCAAAGGTGTTTCAGCAAAAATTTGAGTTTGTGGCACAGACTCAATTCCTTTACAAAGTAAAATTTGAATTTGAAGTAATGAGATAGTAGATACATACTTCTTTTATTATTTTAATAATTTCGCATTAATCTTTTTTGTAATCTTTTTATTATATTTAAGTTATTAGATACATATTTCTTTCATTATTTTAAATTACATTAAACATTCATTAATCTTTTTTGTAATCTTTCGATTATATTTAAGGAGAATATTTTTAAAGGTTATTATTTAATAGTTTCAGAGCTTTATATTTTATAATATTTAACAGTTTAAAGGTTATTATTTAATAGTTTCAGAGCTTTATATTTTATAATATTTAACAGTTTAAAAGTTATTATTTAATAGTTTCAGAGCTTTATATTTTATAATATCTAATAGTTTGATGATTATTATTTATGCCTCCCTTTTCTAGTATTTTTAGTCTTTTTGTGTACTTTTTTTGCAATAAATAAACAAAGGAATTCTGGCCACAAACCCAAATTTTCTAACCCCTATACATCTGTTTTCTCTATCAAAATTAAAAGTTTGAAATATGAAATGTTTACGACATTTGGTTAAATATATAAAAAAATTCGAGTTTGTGGCAAGAGCTCAGCTCCTTTTAAAGATTTTCCTGTCTTTTACAGATGATTGTGATTTCAATTGGATCGACGGGTACCTGTATCTTGTATTGTCCCCTGGTATCCCCCTACTCCTGTATCCTGTATTGAACTTTGGTATTCCCCCATGCTGTTTCCTGTATTGAACCCTGGTATCCCCCTACTCCTGTATCCTGTAATGAACCCTGGTACCCCCCTACTCCTGTATCCTGTAATGAACACTGGTATCCCCCTACTCCTGTATCCTGTAATGAACCCTGGTATCCCCCTACTCCTGTATCCTGTCTTGAACCCTGGTATCCCCCTACTCCTGTATCCTATATTAAACCCTGGTCTCCCCCTACTCCTGTATGTATTGAATCCTGGTACCCCATCCCCCCCTACGCCTGTATCCTGAATTGATCCCTGGTATCCCTGCTACATCTGTATCCCGTATTACGGTATTGTACTGGTATTCCCCCCTACTTCTGTATTCTGTCTTGAACCCTGGTATCCTGTATCCTGAATTGAACCCTGGTATCCCCCTACTCCTGTATCCTGTATTGAACCCTGGTATCCCCCTACTCCTGTATCCTGTATTGAACACTACTCCCCCAGTACCCTGAGCTTCCTAAACCTTAGTCTCTGAATCTTCCATCTTTAATCTAAGGATTGCATGGCTAAAAACACTGGTTTATATACTTCACAAAAATGCTTAATATTTTTAAGTTTTCTTAACAAAAAAAGAATCATTATATTTAAACTTTGTAGTTTTGAATTTCTACTCTGACATGTCTCCATGCTCATTTCATATATTGCTTTCTGAGAAAGTATGTAATTCCAATCTTCTTTTTGTTTAGTTTAAATACAGTTAGCCAACATTATACGTATCGATATCACTGTTTTGGGGATAGTCAATACATGTTTCAAAGTTAAGACAATTTCTATGTAAAAATGATATTTCATGGAAAGAAAAGAACAGAGAGGACAAATCAGTCCTATATTAGAAAATACAAAGGTATCTTAATACATAAACATTAGACAAAGAGGACAAATCAGTCCTATATTAGAGAATACAAAGGTATCTTAATACATAAACATTAGACAGAGAGGACAAATCAGTCCTATATTAGAAAATACAAAGGTATCTTAATACATAAACATTAGACAAAGAGGACAAATCAGTCCTATATTAGAGAATACAAAGGTATCTTAATACATAAACATTAGACAGAGAGGACAAATCAGTCCTATATTAGAAAATACAAAGGTATCTTAATACATAAACATTAGACAGAGAGGACAAATCAGTCCTATATTAGAAAAAGTCCCATTTGTTTGACAAAATTAAGTATTAAAAAGTTTTGAAGAAAAGAAGAATTCGTTTTGTCTTTACAACTTCTTAGTAGAAAATAAATGTCCTATATTTGAAATGTCCTATATTTGAAATGTCCTATATTTGAAATGTCCTATATTTGAAATGTCCTATATTTAAAATGTCCTATATTAGAAATGTCCTATATTTGAAATGTCCCATATTTGAAATGTCCTACATTAGAAATGTCCTATATTTGAAATGTTCTATATTAGAAATGTTCTATATTAGAAATGTCCTATATTTTACACCATGAAGTTGCAAAGATAAAGGGATTCGAATATTTGAGTTAGTGGCAAAGACTCAATTCCTTTTCACTGCAGGATATTACATTTTCGTTGTAACCTACAGGGATAACTAGAATTGAGGGAATACCCTCTCCACTAAAACCTACCATTTCTTCGGTAAGTGTACTGCAACTTACTGCAGTACACGCCGAAAGCTAAGTTAAGAGGGTGAATAAGTATCCAACAAAACTTTTAAGTTGTCACTTATCACTCTGGATATTGATATTGAAGATTAGTACACATGAGTGCTTTTCACACAAAAGTTTTTAGAAAAGAAAACTCTGAAATAGGAAGACGACTTTTAGAATCAAATTATAACTTTAAAAAGTCCAATGAGCATGAGAGACAGCCAATGTGCAGAGAGACAGCCAATGTGCAGTTCTTTATAACATTGTTTTCTAGTTATCACTGTATCACAAATTAGAGACATATTTTTCAGTTTTCAGTTCATTCAAAGCTTTTCCTTTTTTCCAGAAATGTTTACGATTCTTCCCTCCAAACTGTTTCGTTCTTCTCCAACCATCATTACAGAAATAGATTTGAATTTCAGGTAAATAATGATAATACAGGGTGTCCCACGAAACATGACAGTTGGTAATTAGTTTAAAATGTCTTCTTCCATAATTTGTTAAGTTGTTTGATACCAAAGCTAGACAATAATTGAAATAATATGGTAGTCATGTTACAGTAAAATTGATTTCATAGTAAAATATATTCAAGCATAAGATTTTTTTAACGAAATAAACTACAAAAAGCTTTTAATATCTAATACAGTATATGGAAGACGACATTCATAACTATTTATCAATTGTCATGTTTCGTGGGACACCCTGTATATAAAAAATACATAAAAATATATTAAGAAAAATTAAAATTAATGACTTTTGAACAATAAAAATGAACAAATGATTTGTTATTAAAAGCAAATAATTAATGTGTGAAAGTTTTTTTTGTAAAAAAGGCTTTCAAAAACATATTGGATAATTCGTAATTCGTTTAAAATTATTTTAACCTTGATGAGAGTTATTATAATTCAATTCGACATTATGAAAAATTAAAGAACCAGGAACCGAATTTAATAAATTCAAATCCTCAAGAATCTTTAACTTTGAATCGATGATTCAGAATTTAAGTTAAATTTTAGTTTCATTATTTAAGTTTTAATTTTTACTGAATTCCACATGGATAATTCCCATATGTTTTCCTGCAGTAGAAATGCGCAAGTCGCTTTTGTAGATCGAACCCCGAATGGAAAATAAACAGTTTACACAATTATAATCATTTCTATCTAACTCATAATTTATCAGACAAAGCTTTTAAGGATACTATAGTGAATCGGACATTGCCATCGTTGCATGAACGACTCTTGAAATAACAAGTTTATAATGCCTTTAAGATGCAAAGAGCGACGATCCTTGTTCCACAGCAACTCCGGAGGTCACGTGACAGGAAAGCTGTCTGCCCGAACTAGATCTACTCTTCCAAACCAAACCACAGAGTAAGTTTCTAGAACTTTCTGGAACCGAATCTAATGATTTTAAGCTGAGTCGTTGAACTACCTACCACCGGTTCAAATCCTCAATCACCGATTCAAATATTCAGGAATCTTTAACCTTGAATCAGACCCAGATAAAAGTTCATTAAATTCTGTCCCTGTATGTAATTTATGATGTCTCTTTATTTAAAGAGTGTTAATGTCTGATTTACAACTTGTTGCATTCTGACAATCAACTCTATTGCTTTTGAAGCAATTATTCAGGAGGTCATTTTCACTGAAACTACAATTTAAAATAATAATTTTTTTGATAGAAAAAAAGAAATTCTCATTTATAATCAAACTAGATTGTAGCGGACACGCGACTATGTAAATAGGGGGTCATTCTAAATTACATTTACATCTCCCAATTTTAACTTATTAAATAAATCGCAAATGTGTGATAAGTACGATTTGAATTGTATATTTTAAACTTTATACTAAGAAGCTTTGACTTGAAGATCTATCGACAAGACACGTAGAAAAACGGCGGAATATATCCCGTATTCAATATTCAGACATGTAAAAGCAAAGCATATCAGGATACTTTGAATCAATTATGGCACTCCTTAAATCAAGGGTCGCCAAATTTGGTTCAGAATTAATAGAAAAATGTTTTCATTTTAGATTCAAGGAACCCTCTTCAGGTGGAACAAAGGTAATTCAGAAAGAAAAAAAAATTTAAAGATTTCTATATTAACCATAGTTTCTGAAAAACAGTTCTTGGATCAGATTTAAATTTGAGATTTTAACCAAAATATACAAAAAAACAAAAACAATTTTCTTCTTACAAAAAAGTGTTGACCGGTGGCATTGGTGAAATTATCCTAATCTCTAATCAATCAAGTTTCAGAAGATAAAAGGAGATAGAATATTTTCTTAACTACAAAGAAATGAGATTTTACAGAACGGATCCAGGATCCGGATCCTGGTTTTACAGAACGGATCCAGAATCCAGATCCTGGTTTTACAGAACGGATCCAGGATCCGGATCCTGGTTTTACAGAACGGATCCAGAATCCAGATCATGGTTTTACAGAACGGATCCAGGATCCGGATCTTGGTTTTACAGAACGGATCCAGAATCCGGATCCCGTTTTTACAGGACGGATTCAGAATCCGGATCCTGTTTTTACAGGACGGATGATCAGGATCCAGATTCCGCAATAATTTTGTTAATCCCGTTGTGAACATTAACGTTAATGTCAACGTAACGAATTAGGAAAGAGCTTGCACAAAAGTCAAAACGTGATGACATCGTTGTGCAACGCACGGTTAGACTTGACAAAATGAGGCTTTTTTTTTTTTTTAATGGAAATGTTTAAGATATAAATCTGGTTATATTAAAGAGACTGTAAAGGAAAAATGAAAAGGGGTATATGCGGAATTGAAACCTAAGCATTTTAGGAGTTGATCGAGACCCATAAGTATTCTTTCTGATGTTCCTGTCTCGAGAAGTTGATATAAAAATATGTCAAAAAGAGACAAATATTTGAAATTTTGATGATTCATAAACCTTCCCTGGGCTCCCTAGATGTCCCACAAAAAATTTGGGCCCGATCGGTTCAGCCGTTTTGACGTTTATTGGATACAAACAAACAAACAGACAAACAAACAGACAGACAAACAAGCCAAATTTATATATAGATTGTGCCTGAAATCGTTGGTTTAAACAAATAATACTCAGCAAATACGCAACCAATATGAGAACGAAAATATCCCAGAGGAGCCTGAAAAACTTAGGTTTGCTCCTCGAGAAATCAACTTTAGATAGAACTCTTGGTCTTGATCAACTCCTAAAATGCTTAGGTTTCAGCCTATACACCCTTTCATTTTCCTTTACAGTCCCTTGAAGTAAAACGAAATCGGGAGAAATTTCAATATCTCAGTAGGTAAAGGTACAGGGTGTCCCAAAAAATATGGGAATTCAGTGACGAATTTAATATCGTCTTTGTTATGAATTAGCATTGTAATACCTAATTTTAAAAGCCATAAAATTATAATGTCTGCTAGAGTTTATTTTATGAAAAGGGTAAAACACTGTAAAGATGTGTCTATAATGTCTCCGCAGATGTTTGTATACTGCAATTTTCTTGTTTTACTAAGTACAACCGTAAGCAGTCAAAACATAAAAAAAATATGTGAACATAACAGACGAAACTCTTACAGATTACAGCTTTCTCAGTAGGTATCACTATACTAAATCGAAGAATAATTTAAAAAGACGATATCGAATTCGTCACTGAATTCCCATGTTTATTGGGACACCCTGTACAAAATAGGTAGATGCAGATCACGTTTTGTTTTTCATTGTTTTGACTTTTGAGTAAGTTTCTAGTATGATGTTTCGTGGTTGTCAATCGGAGACGATTTGAAAATTTTCACTTAAATCCAATGTTTATCAGGACACCCTGTATGAAAATTTCAATTCTAAGTCTACTATTTCTTTGAATTCAAAAAGTATCAAAATTGAGATATATGATTGCATATACAAAATTTTAAAAAGAAATATAATTTTTAAATTAAAGGCTGAGAATTAAAAGATTACATAAATGAATTGTATTATAATCAAATAATCCAATATTGCAATTATATGGCTGAATTTCGTAAATCATAAGTCTAGTATATGTTGAATTATGCAGTGTGGAAACCTGAAAACAGTGAAGTAATTGTCGTCATCATTCATTCTTTTGTTCTTAAATAATGCAAAGAATTTTGAATATTTTTAAAAATGTTCAAGGAACATTTTTGAAATAAATCAGGACCAAATTAATAGTCCTACGTGACATTTCATAACATGAAGAGAGATAGAAGACGACAATCATTTCTCAGTTTTCTAGTTACCATTGTACCACAGTTTTATTATAGATTGTTCCTATTGCTAACCTGAAAACCAACAGTGCTCTTGAGGAATCTGCATCAATTAATCTCCATCACAACAATGTAACCAGAAATGGGGAAGATGGAGAACAATCAGCAGTTGTTGATAATCAGAAGACTGTTGAGACAGATGACATCAATAAAGTAAAACAGATTCAAGAAGAAGAAAATGTATCGAAACCCAAAGAAGATGTTGAAAATGAGATTTTGACTGAGGAAGTTGACAAAGAATCTGAGGCTGACCCTAATGTGGAAAATCAGCCTGAAGATCCTAATAACAACGATGACCTGGAAAACACTGGAAAACACTCTGAAGATGTCAACGGTGACAATGCAACGTCTGAGTTTGAAGAAAGTAATATAACAAATTCTAACAAAGATATTATTGAAGAGAAAGATGAAAAGGATTTCACAAGTACTGAACTAAACAGATCAATGAAGAGGTTAGGTTGGGACTCAACTTTAAGAACAAAAATAAAGGATACTCCTAACGGCTGGATTCTTGTTCCTGTTTAAAAAAATTAAACCGAAAAAAACAGAAAACTGTGGGAAAAGAAGACGACTTTTAGACGGAAGTTTTGTGTTTTAAATGGAGAGACCAGCTAGACATGAATAGTATAGAATAGTATTGTAGAGAAACCCTTTAGGATTCATTTGATACCAATGAGACATTTTTACTCTGTGTAATTTTTAAATAAGAACGTAAAGTTGTTTGTAATATTTTTCTAGTTGTTTCAGTCAGCAGAAGAAACGTTTTTTTACAATTCTTAAATAACATGGACAAAACATGGAACAAATATTTTTCTATAAACTAGTTGCATGCATGCATACAAACATAAGGAGTTTAACATTGAAAATAAGATATTAAATTTCACTTTAAATTTTTAAGGTTTTTGCAAATTTTTTCAGCTAGGGTAGCTTTTTGGAGGTTTTCTTTATTTTACATGTGAAGACGACATTTTAAAGAAATCTATAAATAAAATTATAGAAACAGCAAAGGTAATAATGATAATGAAGTAATCGATTCTACGGTTCTACCATGGCTTTTATCGATAATTTCTTTTAAGAAATATGTTCCTAAACAGCAAATACGTCTATGAAATATTTTTTTGACATGTTTTGTCCTGGTCATTAAATAATTGTAAGAAACGATTCCTCAATTGACTGAAGCAACTGGTGAAATATTAAAACGACTTTACGCTCTAATTCGAAATGGCCTACACCATAAAAATGTCTCATTGGTGTCAAATGAATCTAGAAGCTTTTCTCTACAATAATGCACTGTCAGCTCAACTACCATGTCTAGCCGGTCTCTCCCTTTAAAAGTTTATAATGAACATGAAACACAGAAATTGTGAAGAGTAAAACCATTTCCGTTGTTATCTATATATACTTTGCTTGTCTGTTTGTTTGTTTGTCTGTCCGTTTGTGCCCAATATATGTCAAAACGGTTAAACCAAATTTTGAGTGGGGTATCACATGAACCAAGGTAAGGAATTTGGTTGATCAAAATTTCAAAAATTTGCCTCCCACAAAATTATATTTCCATTAAATTTTGAAACTCCACGGATTTTGTTTATAAAATTCGCAACTTTTTTTGTCTATGTGTTACAATGTATACAAAGAGAAACGATGTTCACAATTAAAATAAATTACGGGCGCGTGCTAAAATAAAAATTACCTCTGAACATAGAATCTTTAAATGTCGTCTACTTGTTTTATATCTGAAAATATATAAATTTTAAAGGGACTGTCAACGACATATTTTCAAGTGTTTTTGTCTCAAGCTCATGTTTTCTAAGCCCTATATCTTTGCAACCTAATGGCGTAAACCTTTGATATTTCAAACTATAATTATTTGACTTCATAGTTTGAAGTATCAAATCTCTATTACATTGGGTTGCAAAGATATAGGGATTAGAAAATTTGAGTATTTGGTAAAAACTCAGTTCCTTAAAAACGTAACACATGCCCGCTTCACATTGGTATGATAATATGATAATTCTCTTGACTTCCTTAATTTTCTCGACACCATAAATCCGCTACATATAATTCATATAATTATAAAGCGTATTAGTTAAATTGTTTGAATTTCGAATATGTACTTTTTTCAGATTTTGAAATATCAAAGACTTTATGTCATCAGTAAATCTTCTCGATTATAGTGACACACTGTATTAAAATATTATTAATTTTTGACATTTTGGTTTTATAAAATATATAAAATTTATAAATTTAAGATTAATGAATATAAACAATAACATGCAGTGTACCAAAACGCATTGAAAAGTACAAAAAAGAAAAAATTGTACTTTTTAAATATCATTTTCCTGTTTTCCATTATAATTTAACATATGTATATTGTATATTGTATACATATGTAAATACATAAATACATAAATTTAAAATGCTTAAATACATAAATTTAACAAAATTGCTGTCTATTAAACAATAAAAACACGAAACATGTTCTTAAATGCATGCATGATCATAATAAAATTTAAACAAATTTTTCTGTTAATAAAGCGATTAATAAGTTGCTGAAAAATTTTGTTAAAAAGTCTTAAACCAAAAGTTGAAAGCAAAAAAAATGTTATACCAAGCAATAGAATGCAATAAAATTTTCTATGGTGGTAGGCGATTATATTAACATAATAAAGACGACTTTCGATTTTAATTTTGTTTTATATCAAGCTTTTAAACAGCATGGATACATAAAAATGGAAACAAAGAGACGCTGTCAATTGAAAAAGCTTCTCTTTAATTACATTACATGATAAACGTAAATTCGAAAAAAAAACTTGTTAACAATAAAAACTTTTATAAAAAATTTAAAATTTGTGTTGAGTGTCTGTCGAATTTTAGACCCATTTTTAACGTAAAAATCTTATTTTTCAATCAAAAAGTGTTATAATTTAAAAATGTTTTCCAGTAGTTGAAGGCAAAAAATTGCTCAAAAATCTTAAACCCAGTGGTTGAAAGCAAAAAACTGGAATTTCTCAGCGGTTGAACTTTTTAAAGTTGTTAAAATAGTGTGAAAAAACGGTTTTGACTTTTGCGCATTTCTGGTGTTGATGGTGTAGTCTATCAATTGAACTAATGATTGATTGAACCAACGTAAGTTTGAGATTAATGTTTATTTCGACTAACGTTTAAAATGGCCATAGTTCTCAAATGTGATAAAATAAGTTTTTTGATAAATTCATATTAACATGATTAAATTTGCATTTATTTAAATGCTATAATAGCCGGCTTAGTTGTATTGATTTCTTTAGAATGACCGGTTTCAAACTACTCTCACTAAACTGTGTTTTCTTTAATTCTTTATTCAGATGGTGTTACTTGGTAGAAGAGAGTTTGGATGTTTAACTGAAATAGATTGAAGTATTATAGCAACAATATAACATTGATAAGAACAATTTTTATAATGATTTCATATAATTACTTACACGAATGTCATCTATTAAGAAAGAAATCAAAGTAAGTTTACATCAGCGTCCATGGTTGGTTTAGGCCTTACTGAAGCTACACTTAGGATCCAGGCATACATACGTCCGTGCGCGCAGCTATTGTTCATATTATATATAGTAAAATGGGAAGAGATCAAATGCCTAATTTCAAAACATTAGTGAACTTTAGTTCAATCATATATTAGTCCAATCGATAAAGCACCGTATCTGTAATTGTTATCAAACGCAAAGACTTTGCTAATTATAAAGACGAGGCGTTGGAAATTTATCCGACTATTGTGTACGCCTGTACAGCTGTATTTTGACGTCATTGGTTATTTTGGTTGTTTGAGAGTTTAACGATCGACATTAAAACCTTAGTTATTTAACACAATTGTGAATGTTTTGTGCTAAAAAATAACTAAAATTAACGATATTTATTTGTATTTTAAAATTTATTTATTCATTTGTTGGATATGAGGATCGTCTGGTGAATTATAGCTGAATTTGTGATAAAGTTACGCATCTCTTTTGTATTAAAAATAGCTAATAATTGTTAGTGAAAATTTTCAGATGTCGTCAAATATTTTTCCTGAGGTTCTATGGAATGGAATTTTAGGCGATGAAGAAGAGAAAGGGTCCAGAAATTTCAAATATTATAAACGGTAAATAATTTTTTTGTAAATATCGTCTTCTGTTTAATCTTAGGCAAAGAAATAATATCGCATAAATTAATGTATTAATCTTACTCTTCAATTAATTTATGGGGATTTTTTTTCTTAAAAATATCCAGCATTAAAGAAAAAAATATCACAGAAAGTTTCGTTAAAAATGCGAATTAATGGACGACCTTTTACTTAACAGTCTTTTAAAGTTGATTACAATAGTTTTGAGGCATTAATTATTGGAGGATTTTAAAAAGGTGGATTAAAGAAATACATTGGTGAAAATAAAACTGGGAAATATAAAGACGACTTTTGGACTCAATTTTTGATTAAATAGTTCAATGAACATAAAATACTGCAATTGAGCAGTGAACATGGAGATTGTCTAAATTTCGTCTTCAAATTTCAGAGTATTATGTATACAAGTTTAATGAACAATTCTGATAAATTCATGTTCGTCGGTGCCACTGCCAAGCAAAGTATTTATGATACCCAACTGCCAAGCCAACCAAGAATAGGAGAGTCTGCGTTTACAATGCCAGAAGATCCAAAACGAAAAAAGTTTGGACGAAGGCTCTTTAATTGGATCATAGGAATTCCTTAAAGAAAAATATCCCGATTTTGTAAAAACTATTACTGTTGACGGAAAACAGCAACACGCTAGACAAATCAGGATAATAGGCCAGTTAGGATTCTGGTGGGGGATGTTTATTTTCCCCGGACGATTCTTTCCCGATAGGCCGCACAAAATACACACAACAGAGTAACCCCGTCTCAGAAATTCGATAACAAAATCTTTATTTCCTAAAAAATAACATTAATTTTCTTCTTATAAACACTTAATATACTTAATTCAAACCAAAAGTAAATGTTCTAAAGGACTGATAGATGTAATTTCAAGTTACCAACCCATTAAAGGTCTTATCAACAACGGTACCATTTAAACATTTATCTGGGTAACAATGAGGAAGATATCGTCGTTATTTTAACTTAATAAGTGATGAATTCTGTAAATTATGTTCATTGTCTTTCCACTAGTCACTTTTATGGACTATATACAAATTAAATATTTCAAGATAGAAAACCCAAAGTTGTTTCCTCGTTTTTTTTTTAAATAGCTTACAATTCCTTACAATTAACAAAAGACGACATTATGAAACGTCAGCATTTCTGGAAAAGACGACATTTGTTACGATCTTCGGTGCCCCGGAAAATGCGTCAATTTTGCGTAGATTTTCTGATGCGCTATCTTTAATTAGCAAAGTCTTTGATCAAACGTAACTTTTATAAAATTATACAATATATAAGAAAATCAAAAGTGTGTACATTGAATACTCAGATAGGGATAGGGATTAAGGATATCCCATTCTAAATATTTTCAACGGTGTGCACTTTTTGTAATTGTTATTTTCCTTTACTGAAGTCGTACTTTAAATAAAACTTTTCATTTGGGGTATACCTACAAATAAAATGACAGGGGTGTCAAAAGAACTATTTATAACACTGATATTTTGGTTCGCAGTGTTATAAAGTTTTTGGACAGAAATTTTCTCATTATCGAGAAGGTTCAAGCCTTTTTAGA